CCGTCGAGCTTCTCCGCCTGACAGCATGCACAAGGGTGAAAGGGCCCTACTTGGTGTCGGTCACCTCAATCGGAGGGAACTCTAATCGGCTGGGCGATGAAGATGAACAGATGGGACGGAAGGTTTTGGCTTGGGTGTGTTTCAATGATGAACTGGTGGAGGTGGCGCCGGAGAGAGAGACAGACTGCTACGGATTTTGAGTGAGCATCGATTACCTGGCTTGGGTGTGTTTCTATGATGAACTGGAATTGTTTAGGCTTTAGGGTTAATTGATGTAAAAGTGGAATGAAAAATGAACGAGGAAAAAGATGGTGGTTGTACTCCCCCACCGTCTTAGTTCAAATTGCCACAATAAATTTGGGGAAGGGACAAAAGGATTACGACCTCACAAGACAAGGGTTCTTGTTGATCATAAGAGAAAATTGATTTGAAAATAAAGAAAGTATTTAATTTAGGTGCTTTATACGATGCTAGGAAGAAATAGCGTAGTTTAGTGTAAAAAGTAATGATTAAATTTGTAGAGGACTATACTGTATGTATAAAATTTTATTAGGGGTAGTTCGTAATTATGATTTTATATTAATAATTCATTTTAATATAATTAATATTGTACCGTTAGATTAGATCAACAGTGCATAGAATCTGTAGCATGCTATGCATCAGGAGCATACGAGTGTGACCCATATATATATATATGGTGGCGTCTTCGGTGCACTCACTTTTTTGGGTGCATTCAGTGCACTCGCTTCATAACCGTCATTTTAAACATGCGATTTATGTCAAAATGATGTCAATCATCACTTATGATGTGATTAACAATAACGCACATGAATTTGCACAAAAACCATTAAAGATTTACTTTAATTTGAAGGATTTATAGTTTAGAGATTTAGGGTTAGGGTTAGGGTTTACAATTTGGAGTTTAGGAATAAAACTCAAAATTGGAGGTCTAGGGCTTATGGTAATCAGCTAATTAGTTGTTATCATATGTTATATCATCATATACACTAATTCTACAAATTAAAATTCAAAATCCGGCACCTTAAGACTAGTTTTGAGTTGGGTGTATTGAACGCACTCATTTTTGTGAGTGCACTGAAGAAGTCACCACATATATATATATATATATATATATATATATATATATATATATGTATATAATTAATACGTATACTTATCCGATCGATCGATAATCCGATTTTCGTCGAAATACTATCAAAACACTCGATTTTAAATCGTGAAATTTTCTAGCGACCGTAATACGAGTTTAGCCGAAACAGGGTGTTACACTTTGTGTCCATAACCATGGCACTTAAAGCACCTGATGCTGCCACTAGATGTTCTCGTTCTCTCTTGGCAGCTGGCTTGACAATCCTAGCTAGGTTCCTTGGAAGTTCTGGGTTTCATTAAAGTTCAGGAGTATGTTTAGGTGAGTCGTTAGCTGGGGTCAAACTCCTTCCAAAATTTAGCTTCAGCTGCTTCTCTATTCTTGATGTCTTGATTGAGACCCTGCAAGAATCTGTTGATGGTGGCCTCCTTGTCTTCACGTACATTAGCCCTGATCATGATGATTTCCATCTCTCGGAAGTAGTCTTCAACACTATGACTCCCTTGACGAAGAAGCTGCATACCATCATGAAGTTCTCGCTGGTAATAGGACGTCATGAAGCAAATTGAGGAGGTAGATTAGGGACATGATGTTTGGAACCCCAAATTTGAAAAAAATTGGGTATATCATCAAGGTCCCAAACACAAATTATAAGCTATTCAACACCCCAAAACTCATTCAACCAATAACAAACACTCCCACGAACAATCATCAACGTCTTACATTCATAATCATAGGGAGGCTACTACCAACCATGGTAAACTCACCATGAATCATTCAAACATACATGTACATCCCCCACACTTAAGAGACACATTGTCTTCAATGCGGAAGGATAAAGGTAGGTTCATGAAGAGTTACCATAGGGTGTTTTGGTGGGTTGGTGTAGGTGCACAAGTGTAGGCCTTCATTAATCTAGAAGCTTGACATTCAAGCACACATAAGAGAGGAATAAAGGGTTATCCATACAAAAAATATATAAACTAATCTACCACAAACACTTTATTATTAAACTTACTAAGTATCTAAATTATTAATCAAAGTTGAAAAAAATGAACGAGAAAAAAGTAAGAAATCGGCCTTGGAATGCCAAGTTGCCTTTGATATTTGGTTGGAGCATATGGTAGTTGCACTTCAAAGACTCTTGCTTGAGAGGATGGTCCATCATAGTCCCTAGACACCTTTATTGGTTGCTTTGTTGTGTTTGTTGTAGTTTCTCCTCGATCTGAGGTCATGGTCCTTATCTTGGAACTTGTGGTTCTTCTCATCGATAGGCGGTTCCAGTTTCTTCGTTGTTGAGGGCTAAGAGAATAAACCTATCACCTTTGGTTGGATCGCCATCATAAGAAAAAGTCACAAAACATATCCAGACAAACTGATAACACCCAAAATGGTGTTATTTAGAGCCCATATTAGGTTCATTTGGAGTTATTTTATGGTTTTCATGGTTAATATATCGTCAAATATACCCTTTATTCGTTCCTTGGAGAAAATATTAGTGTTTTATGGTGTATTAGATGATATGAGTGTTTTAGGTACCAAAAAAGGGCACAAGTGTAGAAAAATGTGCAAAACATAGGATCATGCCCGTACATTGAGGATGCAAAGCTAGGCACCGTGATTATAGCCTTCATAGCCAAGATCACAGCCGCGAAGTCGAAGTCCTCAAGCACGAACTCTTGGAGCAGGCAACAAGGAAGGATCATAGAGTTTTGATAGCCGACTTATGACTTTCTTCATCTGAGCCTGCGAGAAATATCACGGCCATGACTCACGGAACGCGATCGTGAAGTCGGGCCGCGAACTTCCCATTTCGACCGTGAACTTGACCGAGACCCTAAAATCTATAAATAAGGGGTTCTTCCCCCTCATTTGGAGAGCTTAAATAAATTGAGAATTTTCTGGTTTGAGAGAGAGAAGTTGAAGTAAGGAGAAGAAAAGAAGGAGTCAAGGAGGAAGGGAGCTATCCCCAATTCAAGCCTTCTTATATTTCTCTACATATATCTTCTTCCCTCATTTATGGAGTAGTCCTCTAAGGTACCAGGGGTTAACACCCCCAAACCCTAGAATTATGTTTTGAATGTAGATGTGCTTTTTGTTAGGGTTTGTGTATGAACTTTTTTGTTTTAGTGATTATATGCTTCATTTATGTTTGATTATGCTGGGGCTTGTCTCTCCAACTCTTCCCTACTATCCTACAACTGAGTTTTAGAACTAGGTGGGAGTTTTAGGGTTGGACTGGATTTGAACGTTTTAAGGCTAACTAAAGGTAGATGAATGATCTTAGGATTCCTTTTAGTGGACGAGGCAACAAAACCCTGCTAGAGTAATGCCTTCCTGAGATAATGCTATCTATGATACAAGCATCATTGATCTATCGCTTTAATGTGCATGATAGGTTGAACCTATTAAGATAAATTAGTGATTATTTCTTAACTAGCAGTTTGCCCGGCTAGTTGGCCGGATTGTAGTTATTCCATTTATAGGCTATATCCCGTTTTAGCCCCCTTTCGCCCATTTTTGTTTTTTGGAAATGTCTTATCAATGATCAACTTGTGGTTATTCCATCTATGGGCTATATATCCCGCTTTTGTGTCCTTTATTTTAGCATGTTTTATTTTTTATAAAAAATTCATGAATTCATTTTATTATACCAATTGTATTTTCAGTGGTGTTAGGGGTGTATATGGTTCACCTACCGGAATGTAATTGTTCCATCTCATTGCCTGCCCAGTTGCCCATATTAGTTTTGTCACAATGCTGATAGGTGCAATTTAAGCAAGGTCGTCATATTGATTTAAATTGTCAAGCAAATTAAATAAGCAATTTAAGACGTGATTGTCGAATTGAGATCCAACCTATTTAACGTGCATTAGACATATTCTAAAAATATATATCCATAAGGTACAAAATTAAAATTCTAATAATAAAATAATATATTATATATATATATATATATGGCGAGTTATATATATATATATATATATATATATATGTATATGTATGATAATAACTTGTATACTCCAGGAGTATAGCATGCTCCCGGTAATCTGACCGTTAGATGCACTTTGATGAGCTCCAATCAATCTCAATAATCAATTATTTTTTTATTAAATTCAATATCTAACAAACTTAAAAACTCACCCAACCACTTCATATCCTCTCTTTGTCCCTCCCCGTTATGTATCTCTCTCTGTCTCCCTCTCTCCCCGACCCTTTATCTCTCAGTCAATGTGACTGACGTGGCCGGTTTTATATGTCTGATTATGATTGAAAGCCTCTTTTTTTTCATGTAATCTATATATTTTTATGCTTTCATGTAATTCATATTGCTGGTCTCGGTTTGTGAAATTAGCATATATATGTATACTTTTAATTTCCCATAAATATGTTTTAGCAAGCCTAATTAACCTGCCCGTTTATTTTTTAGCGGGCCTCAATTTAACATTCCCAAGAAATTACTGCTTTGGCACAAATGCCCCTCCGCCAATTAAGGGCTGCCTTATGGTGGCTGATGTGGCACAAATCTCATATGTACTCCTCTCTATATATTTGTGTTGATACATGAGCTTTGAAATCTTCAGATTAAGAACTTACGATAAAACCACTAGAACAGACCCTCTATTCTATTGCAAAGAATTTGGATTTCAATGCGTTAGACTGGTTAAATTGGTTTTGGTTCATCCGAAAACAAAAAAGGGCCATTTTCCCACTCAGGCCTTGAGGGGGTCCGAACTCCGATCCAACGGCTGGGCCCTACTCTTTCTCCGCAGAATCAGCGAAACAACTTTCCAAGCAGTCGGATTTCCCCGCCTAGCTGCTTTTTTAAATTCAACGTCTTCACATTTTTACTCCCCCGTCATAACTCCATTTTTGTCCCTCCTCTTCTCAGTTCTCACTCTCCCAGATGAAGCCGAACCGCAGAGTGAAGAAGTCGGATTCGCCATCGAAGGTAAGAATTTTGACACACCATACTCCGCCTGCCTGCAACTAGTTACTGAACGAAAAAGAAACTGCTGTATTCCGCTTCTGAGTTGCAGCTTGTATTGGAAGAGATCATCGGATTAACAACAAAGAACGCCAATGGATTGGCTTCTAGCGAATCCACCCCGTTATCTGCTTACATCGCCGGATGCGCGGTGGTCCTCCACGACGCCAATTCCGGCCAACAGTCGCTCCTCTTGGCGCCTCACAGAACTCCCAAGCCCTTGAGCTGCGTCGCAATGTCTCTAGACGGACGATTGGTCGCCGCTGGAGAGGTACTTCCGATAATTGATCTCATAAATTTTAGAGTCACTGAGGATTGCTGAACCTAGGAGAAAGGATTTTAGTTACGTGTACTGTAATGTCAGTTTTCCTCGTGATTTTGTAGTCGGGAAATCAACCTGCAGTACTAGTATGGGAACAATCGACTGGTTCCTTTTTGTCTGACCTAAGTGGCCATGTGTGCGGAGTGGAATGCATTGCTTTCTCGCCCGATGGTTAGTAATGGTGGAAAGCAGGACTGTTTGGTGGTTTAAATTGGACTTGGCAGTTTTATACATGTGTTGTCTTGTTTGGCTTTAATTGTGTTGATCTTCAAGGTGAGCGCCTGGTGTCTGTTGGAGGATATATAAATCTATGGGATTGGAAGAAGGGTGTGCTGGTGGCGAAGCTTAAAGCAAGTTCATCTGCCATTTCATCTGTTAGCTTCTCAGCCAACGGGAAATTCATTGTTACTGCTGGAAAGAAGCACTTGAAATTCTGGACAGTTGGTTTAACACCAAAGAAGAGTACTCGATTGAGCACAGTTTCAGTAGCAGGGGCGGCACCGATGATTCAAGGGAAGCCTGTCAATCTTGGTCCTCATAAAGGGAGCTCGTTCGTGTGTGTCACTAGTTCTGCAAATCCCGAGCCAATTGGGTCTACTATGTTCTCTATCTATGCGTTAACTGTTGAAGGTCAGGTGTCTTTACTTTAACCCAAAAAGAACCGAAGTGTGTTTCTTCTAGTGTTCCGGTACTTTGTACCGTTGTTTCTGAATGTGGTTACGTTGTTGCATTTGGCAGGTGTCTTATGCGTCATAGACAATGGTTTGTCAGTAGTGAGGTCCGCGGAGTTGAAGGTATATTTGGGTGGCTAAGTGTCTAGGTTCCTCATGATCTGTTCAGACGAGGCCAAGTTGTGGAATATGAAAAGCATATCTTCTTAATTTCACCTCCATAAGTTAATTCATGATTATCAAACAATGATTTGCAGGTTGAGAAAGGTCTTGCGCTATCTGCTTCCCGTAGGCTTATTGCTTGTGCTTGTTGTAGTGGAATCGTGAGACTCTTTACCAGTGAGACTCTCACTTATGCTGGAAGTCTGCTACATTCTAAACCCAAAGTTTTTGATGAACCAAGTGATGATCAAACTGAAGTCATTGGGGACGAGTCGATTCCTTCCTCGCCTGATGCTGTTGCTTGCCAATTCTCTGCCTCGGAGAAGTTGGGTATGCGTCTAAGAGTCTTCTCTACATAGGGAAATTCATTTTTGTGATAACTGAAACATAACTCCTGTGTTTTTTCAGTCGTTATTTATGCTGACCATAGCCTCTATATATGGGATGTTCTTGATGTAAGCAAGGTATGTGCTGTATGAAATTGTCCATGTCAATCTCCCTTCAATGAACTAGTCCTGATATATTTGGGACCTCAAATATAAACCATAGATAATAGCCTCATTCTCATGCAGGCCACCAGGTGTTGGATGCTGGTTTCTCACTCAGCCTGTATTTGGGATATCAAGAACCTCTGCTGTGAAAATATGCACGACCCTTCTCTTGGATGCGCTGCTAGAGGATGTCTGGCTGGAGTTTCTTTTGCTACCTGTTCAGCAGATGGCACTATCAGGTTGTGGGATCTTGAACCACAGCCTCAATTTGTTGGGGATGACGATTCTGAATTACATGCTCCAAATGAACCGATAAGCACCTCTTGCGTTGGTAATTCTACAACTATTTCTTAGTACGTTTCACCCCCCCGGGGGTTACAGAATATGTGAAGCATTCCTTAAATTGTCTCTTTCTGCGTGTGACAATAGTAAGTACTGGGATCTTTGAGCGAGATACCTTGGGTATGGGTGTGAGCAGTCAGGGGCTTCGGTCCATGGCTGTTAGTTCAGATGGAAAGTACCTAGCTGCTGGTGATAGCGAGGGAAGCCTCCACATCTACAATCTCTGCACTTCTGAGTATACATGCGTACAGGTATACAAAAATCACATAATTTCCTCCAAAAATTTAAGCCGAAGAAAAAACTTTAATTAGTTTAAGTGAGTACCAACTACCATCTTGACAGGATATTCACCAAGCAGAGATCCTATCATTGAGCTTCAGCGTGTCACATGAGGAACACGTTAATCGTCAAGAAGTTGATCATGGCAATTACTTGCTTGTGTCAGGGGGAAGGGATCGAGTTATCCACCTTTATGATGTCAAAAGGTGCTCAAATTTCCATCCATTTTTTTCATAAGTCGGACTTGTGTCAATGACTTCCCGCCTTAAAAGAGTCTCAAGTTTTCATTCCAAGTGGAATATTTTGGCAGGAACTTTGATCTTATTGCAAGTGTTGATGACCATTCAGCTGCCGTGACCTGCGTGAAGCTCGATAGAGGGGGCTGTAAGGCTATCAGTTGCAGCGCTGATAGGTACGCCATCCCTTTAATTTGGAATGAGCATCATGAAAATTTATTATCACCATTATCTTAGAAGGCTGCTAGGCAAATTTATTATTTTCCAAGCAAATTATGAGCGTCTCTGGGGAAACTGTACGGTCTCTAGTTGTCAGATATTACTTGCTTCTACAGGTCTTTGGTGTTCCGGGACGTTTTTTTGTCAGACACTGGCTGTAAGATTTTTAGGCGTCATCATCAAATGGCATCAAATGGAACTGTGTACGATATGGCTGTTGATCCAAAAATGGAGTTTGTTGTCACAGTTGGCCAGGTAAAATTACGTTATGAAACTTCTACATCTGCATGTGAAGAGAAGAATATAATACGGACATCAAAGCTTTTGATTTCTTCATAGGACAAGAAGATAAACACATTTGATGCCGCATCTGGAAAGCTGGTGAGATCTTTCAAGCAAGATAAGGATTTTGGAGACCCTATAAAGGTAATTCAGAGTTACATCAGTGGAGCACAAGCTTGAATGTAAACTGACTGAGTCTGATCATGTTTATAGGTTATTATGGATCCAAGCTGCAGCTATCTGGTTTGCTCTTACTCTAACAAGAGTATCTGCGTTTACGATTCAATGACCGGAGAAATGGTCACTCAGGCCATGGGACATGGTGAAGTAGTAACCGGTGTCGTCTTTTTACCCGACTGCAAGCATTTAGTATCCGTGGGTTTTTCTTGTTCGCCATGTCCAACTTTCAACTGTTGATCAAACAAGGACTTCGTTTTATATACTGATTTTCTTCTTTCTCCCATCATAATTTTATATGGCGCGTGCATTCGTTAATGGGTTGCTGCAAACTAAGGTTGCTGGTGATGGTTGCATCTTCGTCTGGAAACTGCCTCCTCGTATGAGCTACAGGATACTGCATAAAATGAAAGAAATTTATGCACCGCTGTCTCCCAGAAAGTTCGAGCTACCATTACCCTCTACTCGAATCATGCTTCATGAAGAAGACAGCCTGACATTCAGAGTCGATGCTGAAGATAAACAAGATGTTTTTTGTGAAGGAGTTGCACATGAACGGACCCCAACGTTCAGATTTAGCATTTCACGACTTCCAAAGTGGGCGCAATCTAGACTTGCAGACTCCGGTAGCATTCAAATAAATCCCATTTGCTCGCCATCTCAAGTACTTAGAAAACCAGCCCTTTGTCACTAGAATTGCCAGTGGATGATTGGCTCTGGATCTGATATCTTTGATGTTTCTATTAGTCGAACCAGGAGCAGGTTGAATTGAAATTTTCCCCCCCACTGACACGTGATGGCCAAGAATCTGATCATCTGTACCTGGAAGTTGAGTCTCCTCTTCCTAGCCTTGATATATGTAGCACGAAGTACTGCTTAAGTAGCTCGTCTTCAGATTCTGCTCGAACAACTGAAAGGGGAATTGAGCCTGTGCCACGTAAAAGTCTGAGGTACCCAATATATTTATTAACCTGTTCTTTGAAGAAACAACGTTTGACGCTTTCTTGGCTTGATTTGATGGTCACGATTTTGAATTTTTTCTTTCAGTCAATTTGCCATGGACAAACGTTGGCTTAGTGTTTATACCGTGTGTCATATACTGAATTCTCCAGAACTGCAGCGATCGATGGATTTAAATATGCCAGTCTCATCATCAAGCTCTGGTAAGGCTAAGCACGAATCTGAAAAGTGTAATTTTTGCCATTGCATCTGCAATTAAGGATATCCTGAAGAGGAATGTGATTTTTAGCAAAGCTTAAGTCAAAGTGCTCATCATCATCGTGTTGGTTACTGCAGAGAAGGATAAAGCACCCATAGATGGTGCTAGACAAGCAGGCGCTTCAGAACTGCAATCAAGTTCTTGTAATTGTGATTTCTTATACCAAGAAGATAAACCTCAATTTATTGATAAAATCACGAATCCAAGTGAGCAGCAGATTTCAACCTGGATACCTGAGCAGTGTTCCGTTAGATCCGAAAGCCAAGCACGTGAGGGCATAGCTGAAGAGAGCGCAATTTTCAAGCAACACTTTGGTAGTTTATCAACAGCCACTAAGGTATATAATACTGTCCCCTATGAGCTGATACACAGGAAACAAAGAGAATTCTACGATTGGTGCCATTTGGCACAAGAACTTGTAGCGTTCCAACTCTGATGGACGTTTGCATTTCCCCTACATGCAGATAGAAGGCTCTAAATCTAAATCATCTGTGAGAAGAAGTTACTCTGCAAGGTACGTGGTGCGGCGGGACAATCCTGCACTGTCCCAGAAACTCTTTGCCACACCATTCCGATATTCTGGTCGTAACACTTGCCAGGATATTGAAAATGATGGCACTCATATTCACTCGGAAAATCCACTAATCCAGTGTCCGAAAGGAAATCTGGTAATGTCTTCCACACAGGTTTATCCTAGTTGTTTCTTGGTGTGGATTTTTCATAACCATTTGTTGCATGGCGCCAAATTGAATGGTAAGGCTCTTCTTCAGGTGTTTCATAACAGATCACAGAGCCTTGCACAAGATTATTCCACAAACTGCATCACGGAGGAAGAAGCTTCAGATATGACAAGAGAAAGTAGCTCCGAGCAAAGTGACGGCCTGCTGCAGGAAAGATTATCACTGTGCATAGAAGCATTACTGAAATTGGACACCGCAGCTGAGAACGCACTGCATCTGTTCGCCAACGGACCCGAAGCTGAATTTCACAAAGGGGCAAGCGACCTGCTTTCGTCGATAACAAAGAAAATCGATGCAGTTGCTAAGCTGGTGCATCGTGGCAAATGACAATATCAGCATAAGCTGTAAATTAACCGAAGTGCATGGTTGATTTCGCCAAGAATGGTGAGGCCTTTTTTTTTTTCCTGGCATTCTTTCTCTACTGGATTTAGGCGTCGTTTTCTGGCGTGCTCACTCTGAATCTTTTACTTGCGCGCTTTCTGTGGTAATGTAAAGCAGGGCTGGGCATGTGGGCCCACAGACGGAGCCTGACGAGCTGGTGCCTGGTGGATAAACGAGCCCAACTTGAATGGGCTCAAATGAAAGAGGAAATGCCCAAACTTTTGTGTTCGGGGCTTCGGGCAGTGGAATAAGTGGACATGATGGCAGCACTGAAATCAACGGGCTGGGCTCCAGTAAAGAAGCAACAAGCAAGCTATTGGAAAAGGAGGTACAAAATTTTCTGGACCTTTCTTCGTGTGGGACGGGAACGTCTCTTTTTTTCTTTTTTTGACAAAGTTTCCATTCCCGCTACGATCTATGGGCCTTTCTCCTTTATTACCCGTATATATAAACAAAAAAGCAAAAGAGGGAAACAAAAGTAAAGAAGACCCATCTTTTCTTTTCTCCTTGTAACAGCAGCTCTTTATCTTTTTTCTTTCATTCAAGTACACTCCTCCTGATTTTCATTGTGAATTTCCCAATATAAAACAAGTAGGAGCCGAGCTCGGTTTGTAGATTTCAAGGCAAATGTCAGTGAACAATGTGGGTAGCGGTGGTTTTGTAGTAGTAGCCACACCATACTAGGATAGGAGGAGGAAGATATGTAGGAATATTTGTAAATCCCTAAGAAGGTATGCCCCCTTGGAAATTAATGGTCCTGTGCACATTAGCTTTGTCTTGCTTTAGTTTAGTAACATGCCAAACTCTAAATTCCCCCTTTCCTTTCCTTTCCTTTCTTGGGATTCCTTCACTCCCACAGTCCCACTTGCATAATTACCAGTAGGTTTTACGAAGCCACTATGGCTCTACAACAGTATTGGAGTTTACAATTTAGAGCCCCACCATCTCATTGGTTAGTCTAATTACTACCTTAATTAGGCTAATCATGACCATTACAGCCTCTAACCAATAACCCTTTTGGAATCTCTCTACCCCAAGGTCGTTGTCTTTTATTGCGAGAAAAAGTGCGACATTCACAAAAAGATATAGAATTGAATCGTCAAATTTTCCATTAACATAACAATTTGAACTACAACATTATCAGCCAAATGATCAGATCGTCTGGATGATCTGACAAAATATAGAGTAAAAAGTAAAATATGTGTGTCGAAGGTGGTAAACTTTCTCTGTCTTTTACTTTGTTTACCTCACATTGTCCTTTGAACTGGTAATCTGATGTACCAAAATTGATATCACCATCAATCTGAAGAAAAAGAGAATGACATCTGTCCTGAATTGTGCCACTGGGAGGGAACAGGGCCAGTTGTCCAACAGGTGCAGGCAAAGGGCTTCCTTTTATTCTGTCTCACAGAATAATAATTTAAAGATAGTAATAAGAATGAAAACAATTCACAACATACAAATAGGTATACCGTATTATGAAAACATTTTGTAAAGACATTAGATCGATTAGCAGCAGCAGCAGCGGCGGCAAAATGTGAAACCAGGTATGCTGGGTCCAAAACAGAGGCCGCTTTGTTTAAAGTTGGCTGTGTATAGTTCATTCGTTCTCTTGCTCTTGCTTATGTACATAGTCCTTTTTCCCAAAACATTTGAGAAAAGCATAATAATAATTACAGTATCTGACTAATCGATCTGTGATGAGCTGTTGTTGTATGCGTGTGTGGGGTAAAGCCAAAGGAGAGCTGGAGGGAGGGGCTCGTTTAGATTGTCCTTTTTACACCCATATTTTCCTTTGTCATCATTAACACTTGCTTTTCTCCTTTTATCCACAGTCGGACGTGTCTCTTTTTAAAATACGTTTTAAAGGTATGAACAATGTCCAGCTACTGCCGCAATATTTGATTTTAGTGTTGTTGGATTGTGTTTTCATGTGTTTTAGTTGTTAAACTGTGTTGGTGGTAGTTTGTACACAAAGCAAATACGGTTAAATCTACTGGCTAAGAGTACACAAAAGACTCTGATATGATCTGAAATTAGGGAAATTACGTATTTGAGTGGAATGAACATTATGTACTTTTATCGTACATAGACTTGATAAGCTTAACGTTCATGAGATGGTATATAGAAGTAGCTAGCTAGTTGATTTGCTGTTGAAACTATAGCAGGAAAATGATGGACAGGCAAGTAATAGGCAAAAGAGAGCAGCACCTACTTTCGCTGTGTGAAATTGGGTGCGCAATAATTATGGAGCATCATGGGTTAGGGTTAATATAAGGCAACATTATTGGGAATAATTGGCTTGGAGAAATCAGTGGAATCCCCCATTGCCTGCCTGCCTGCGCATGTTTATCTTTCAATAATTTCCTCTACCACTGCCCACTAGCTGGTGCATCTTTGCTTTCTTATATTTGCTGGTTTCTGGTGGTATCAAAGTTCACTATCTAGGAATATTGTCAAACGGTCGAAACTCCCAGTTGGTCTGTTCTCCAATTTTTCTAGTATGTTCAGGAGGTTGTACGTGAGATCGTGCTCACAATGTCCCGTATTCGTCTGATCGAGAGCGGATGCTCTGCAATCATCCGATGGACGTGATGCATTTTATTCACAAAAATACTATCACGTCCATCCAATAGCTACGAAGTGTTTGCCCCGATCCGACGATCACGTGATGTCGTCAGCATGTTCTTACAGACACACTTTCAATACTATAGTCAGGATGTGTTTTCTCCCTCAACGTTAATTTGGTTGTAGTACAATACTGTATTTTGTGAGGAAACCAAATACGACTCCATGGGTAAAGCTATCATTTCTTTCATAATCTCATCATCGTCAGCTTTTCGATTTAGCAGTAGTTGAGGTAAAAACGGGTTGATTCAAGTTTCCAGAAGGAGTGGTAATTATAGAAAAGAGAAAGTTTGCAGGAGTGGTAATAATAAGACCTTTCCAGTGAGGGAGGGAGGTAATATAGCATTTTTCAACTAGCTAAGGCTAACGTGTGTGGGTACAGTAACAACGTCAAATTGTGTCACAGTGCTTCAATTCTTATTTGTCTTTGTTTTTACCGAGGGAAAATGACGATGCGATGCGAGAGAAGGGATGGGAGGGGTAAAAAGTAAAAAGTAAAACTAGGAAAGCTCATTCTCACTGCCACACATACACAGGCTTTGGGGAGAGAGAGAGAGACAAAACAAAGCCCTTATCCTCTGACTCGCGAATCTTCATATCTCCACAAACCAAGAGAGAAGCATTAGATTAAGACGACACCAACAGCTTCATAAGAAAAATGCAATTTCCAGATCTGTCCTAAATGTGCATGCTTCAAAAACAGTACTAATCACTAATCCTCAGGAGGGAAAAAGAAACCCTAGCTAGCTAGCTAGCGTGCCGCCCTTTTCCAGATTGTGAAGCTTCCGAATTCCAATAGATCTCTGGGTTTATTGCTTAGAGCCAGCCCCAGGGGCTCTCTGCTCTCGATGAGTTTCCCCCGCACCACAGCCAATGCATTCATTCATTCATTCATTATTCTGCTCTTACTTTTAGGTTACTCTATTTAGGTTAGAGCAAAGAGTGGTTGGATGGGTTTTGGATTTAAAGTGACCCGCCTGCTTATTAACGAGTTGATACTTCGTATTAGGTTGGATGGTTAGCGAATAGTTGCGGTTGTGTTGTCGGTTAATCCAAAGGCGATTTTTCAACTACTCATTAGACAAGTTGACTAACATTTATAATAAATTCCTTAACGCTCTGTTTGACAACTAGGAGGGTGCAAATTCGAAGGGAGTGCAAATAGAAGTGCAAATTGTAGAAGGGAGCAAATTTCAGGGGGAAGCATATTGAGACGTAAATCGTTGTTTGGGAGAAAAAATAGGAGGGTGCAAATTAGATATAAAATATAAAATTTAATATTAATATTAATATTAAAAATAAAACAAAGCCCCAGTCCTACCCCACCTAGGGGTGGGCAACGGGAAACGGGTATTTGGGTATACCCGTACCCGTCCCGTTTTTTAAGGGTTACGGGTACCCATATTACCCGTAATATTATAAACGGATGGGACTTGGGATTGTACATTCCTAATATGGGTGCCCCCGGGTTACCCGCGAATACCCGTTTGGGTAATATGGGTACCCGTTATACCCATTCAATACAAATGCAGAAATTTAATTCAGCCCAACCCAATTCAAAACCCGTTGGCCATTTCGGCCCTTACCCTTTCAATTTCAATTCCATTTGGGCCCTTACCCTTTCACTCTTTCACTGACATGTTTGGTGAATTAGTAGAGAGAGTTGGGATGTGTTTGAAATGAGGCAACGAGTGTCCATTTACAGCCTGAGATCATTGTGTACTTAATTAAATTAAGGAACTTGGATCATCCCAATATTGCTCCTAATTATTCTTCATTGCAGGACAGCAGCAAGTAAAGGACAGTTGCAGCTGCAGAAGGGAGAATGGTAGCAGCAGCCTGCAGAAGAGAGAACGACATCAGCATTGGCAGCCTGGAGAAGGCAGAACTGCAGCAGCAGCATGCCTCCCATTTGGTTGTGTTGAATGAAACTTCTTTTTTGATAATTTGGTGCTTGGAATGATTTATTTCTATGTATTGTGATTGTTCATAAATGTGTAATTTGCAAACCAAGTATTTGTGATTGGGATGTATTTTGTGTCTTGTGATTGTTAAGCAAATACAAGTTAAGTTTAAACTTTTGTTAAAATTTTAGTGGTTTAAACTTTGGGTATTTATGGGTAGTATGGGTACCCGTTATCCGTCCCGTACGGGTAATGGGTACCCGTTTCCCATATGGGTTTAGGATATGGGATGGACTTTGGTCTCCAAATGGGACTGGGTACTCGTTTAAAACAGGACGGGTATCCCGTCCCGTCCCGTTGCCCACCCCTAACCCCACCCTAATCTCACACTTCCTTCATTTCTCTCTCTCTCCCCGGCCCCACCACACCTCTCCCTCTATTTCTCCACCAGCGGCCACATCCCTCTCTTCCCTGGCCCACCACCTTTCCCTTCCTTCCTCCACACTTCTTACGCCCCAAATTGGGGGGGGGGGGGGGAGCAACCGGAATAGTGCTTTTGCACTTGGTTTGCACCCCTAGTTACTGTTGGAAAATATCCAAATGGGGACATTTGTCTTGGCTTTCACATTTACCCCTCCCCTTTTGCACCCCCTCTATTTACACCCCTATCCAAACAAAGTGTAAAGATTGATAAGATCACATTAAATAATCTAGACACCTCCAACCTATTTGTCATCTATGAAGATGCCTAGTACTTCATCATCCAATTATCAAGAGAAAGTTCACGTTATTACTTTTTAGCGACTAAGATACAATTAACAGTTTATAATTTGTATCTCAATATCTAATAGATGTTACACAACATAGTGACCAATAGTAGTATCCCAAAAATATTCTTTATTATCGGCCTTTAGAAGTCGATGGTCAATGTGCATGACCGGTAAAAAAACATGATAACTAATCGTTAGTATAAATAAAATTAAAAATCATTTCAATGTAAAGCTGGGTTGCGGGTCATTTGAGTAACCCGCAACCTAGCCATCACCCACCATTAAGTCTGGGTATGAGATTTCTTGATCCACAATCCACCCATATAAATCATTTATCCACTAAGATTTGAGTTATTTGCATGTGGCTCGATGTCAAACCGTGGATCGCCCACCCACATGGCAATCCCTAATTCTATTATCCAAACATTAGGGTTGGGTACAGTTTTTGGTTAGCGGGTAACTGTCGATTATAATCGAAAACCGAT